GTGCGGACCCGCTGGGATGCGGAAGTTGCGGACGCCCAAGCGATGTGAGGCTACGACACGTGCAGCGCGAAATAGAGAGATAGAGTACAACAATGCAACCTGAGAGTGAAAGCACGCCAGTCTGCTGCAGTTCCCCGTTGTGTTAACGTAGAGTTAAATCTGATGCGACGCCTATGTGTCCGGCGGAGGAGGCGCGATAGCTTCCAGAAGATGCTCTCACGAGCCAGACCGAGGTTAAACCAGCCGCTGCGAATCACGTTGACCGCGTCGCCATCCCCATCTGATAAGATCATCTCCGCATCTCGGTCGCCGCGCACGCCCAAAACTGGGCAAAGAGTACGCTGAACAGCATGACGTTTAACCCTGCCCCGCATCTTATCTAAAACTTCTTATCCATGAATGGACTGGAATGCAAGATGAGCAACTTGTATGTGCGCAGCCGTTTCACTGCATCCCGTAGCTCAATTCACGTCTCGTCCAAGGTGCGATATTATTTCAACTAATATATTATTTTTATACCCATGTACCCTACTACTCTACACTAGTACATCGCATCTATGCACAACTCCTCCTCAACGCCTCGTGCATATACAATGAACAACACCCGAAAACGCGTATCGTCACCTGCTTGCGCCAAGCTTAGCATACATCCACCCGTCCAGTCTTGACAAGCTCCATTGGAGATGTGAACGGCTTGCACGCGCTATCCTACCCGCTATTCGCCAGACAGATGGGCCCATCCTCTAGAAGCCTTCCTCATCGGGGCAATATTCAAGCTCGACTTCACATAGAGACAAAGAACCGACCGTGCTTCTTTCTGCATGAGCCAGTGGTGGCGATACTGTCCAAGCAATCTTCACCCTAGTGTTGGGGTGTTCCTGCCGTGGGTAGCCGACGACATGCTGTAAGGGGCCTACCAGTACCATTAGTGATCTAGCCCTCTCGTCGTTGCTCGTGAGTGGCTCACCAAGACTTTCTTAGCATTCAGAATGCGCCAAGCAAGTCGACTGACTGTACCATCTGCCTGGACCACTTCAGGGGCAAATTCTATGCCAAACCTAGACACCATCAGTAATCTCTACAGGGTACGCACCAAGGGAGGAGACGTACATTTGGTGGACTGCAAATACTACCCGTCTCGCAAACTTCCCGTCTCTTTCAACTAGGCTACCAAAAGGCTCCTCGGGAGTAGATGGAGCGATTTCAGGATCGTGGTCGAAGCAGTTCTGGATAATGGGTAGCAGGGTTTCTTCCACGGCACGTTGGATCGTGTCATTAGAATCCACCTCCACATCGTCCTCATCGAACCTTGGAATACGAATCTCGAAAGCTTGCGAAAGTGCCATTACGTGATGCCGACCGCCGTGGTGATAGCGGAACTCAAAGACACCAGTGGTCCACCAGAGCTTATCTCCGCGGAATTCTACCTCACCAGTGTAGCAATCAGACGATTCTTCGTCGGCGGCATTGGCAGGCAGGAGTTTATCAGACACGAGAATGCCATCATCAGCTCGAGTCGAGTCAAAGACGTCTGGATTGGTGGCTATCCATCGCCCGTTAGAGCTGATGCGTGTAACGTCTCGGGATTGATTGTCGGCGACCATGTACAAGCCAATCCAGTCCTTCTTGCTGTGGTTGATGGGTGCTTGCCAACGAACTCTGATCGGAGCGCCGTACTCGAGGATGAGTGTCTTGAAGTCATTTGTACGAATCGCTGGGGTTCTTGCAAGTTCTCCTTCTCGACCACCATTCTTTTGTTGCTCTACCGTAGGCGGTGAGCGGGTACCTTCAACCTCGAGCTTGTACTGTTTGGAATCTAGACCAGATGGCTCCGATGAACGACCGGTGACAGGAATACGCGTTGGGTAAGACTTGAGAAGACTCGTTGTGTCCTTGACAAAAGCGTCGACACTGGCAGCCACTTTCGGTCTTGCACTATCCAAGAATTTCTCGATGAACTCCATGGTAGAGTTGAGATATTCATCGGCTGCTGATTGCCACTGGCGAACCGGGTCTGGTAGTGCTTGGCGCACGGTTTTGCTGACACCAGACATTTCGCGTAAGTTTTGACCATACAACTACACATTAGTCAGTAAAGCTTGGACAGACATATGGACCAAACTCGACATGTTGGCGATTTTCAGACGTCGTAACAACCTGCATAGGTGCGTGTAGTCGCCAGGCTACTCCAAAACATTTTGCACTCACCTTGATTACATGGGGCTTCTCGACGAACTGGAGAAATACGAGATTAAGAACATGTGCGGTCGTGGCAAGGTAGAAGATGGCCGGGTTCCAGGTGATCAGAGCTACCCCCCAGACACCAGCTAATCCAAGAACTCTCTCAGGATTGTTCAAGAAACGATAGATGCCAGAGTAAGTCAATGACCTTGAGGGTGGATCATAGAAAAAGTCCCCACAAAACCATCCAAACTCGCCAAGTGACTCGTAGATGCTCATGGCAACCCAGAGCTGGAGTACAATCATACCTGCACCAAGAACGTGGCGAAAAAGAGTAAGACCATTCAGGCCATCCGATGGGAGACTGTACATCTTCCATGCCACAGCGACGAAGCTTGCATGGCTCATGGTTGTACTCATATGGTACAGAGATTTCCATTGACGCCAAGCTTCCTCCTTGGTGTCGCCGTACTTGATGAAGTGTTTTGTCCAGTTCTTCTTCTTGGACTGACGATCCAGAATATAGCCCAATCCTAATGCGTACCAAAGCCGCCACCCGAATGCGTTGATGAAGAGGAATGTTCGCACCGGCCAGGTGTTGGGGGTCAGCGTAGCTAAGCAAAACATGTAGAACGAGAGCAATACTACCGTGAGATCAATGGATCGGTGGAAATCCGTGTTAAGAGGCCCTACAATGTGGTGCGTTTGGGCAGGTTGGTGCTTGATGGGATCGAAGACTGGCTCGGAGAAGGCCACATCAGACTGGCTAGTTTTGGGTCGATCTTCCATAGCAAGATCCCCAGAATTATGGCGCGTACGGCGGGGTGGTGGGGGGTTGTACAAACGATTTATGTGAGGCTCCTCTACTATCGACAGGAAGGCAAATTGGGCTGCATGGGCGATGATGGAGATTGCTAGGACTTTGTAGCTCGCCATCATGAGGGCAATACCATAATACCCAGCATAGCCTATCGAGTACATTGGGCTTTGGGTGGAGGCGGTGCGTTAGTGTCTTCTTCAATCAGAAGCGTGATGGGGCCTCTTACTGCGGTGCCATCTCAAAGACGCCATCAAACGTCAAACTCTGGTCGATGAGATAGAAGAAATCGCCCCAATACCTAAGAATGGTGAGCCATGATTCCCAGGCGCTATACAAGTAAGGTGGTTACCAAGCAAAGTCTTTTACAACCCTATGAGCGTCTAGCTTGACCCACAGGTTGAAAAGGAATAAGACAATACCAGTTGTCCATCGCAGGAGCCACAAGAAAAAGCTCTCTTGGGGGCGGTTGAAGCAGGCGAGGGCGAAAAGGCAGTACGACACGAAATCACACATGAGTATGAGGTCTACGACGCGCCTGAACACGAGCCACGTGTTGTACTCGAGCGGCGCCTCTTCAAACTTATAGTCGTTTGGGATCTTGGTCTCTAATTCCCGCTTCAAAAGCTTGTACAGCGCGGGACGTGGGTTCTTGCCTGATTCAGGCGTCTCGAAGATATGGCTTTGTTTTGCCCAAAGGACGAGACGGCTGTGTTTAGACTGGCCATCGAGCAACCAGCCAATGCCAGCATTGTAACAGGCGCGCCAGAAGAGGAAGACGATTGCGAATACAGGTATGCGGGCGCTTTTGGGCAGTACGACGAAGGTCAAGATCAGGGCAGCAAGCACAGCGAGGACTGCTATATCGGACAGGTTCTTGGGTTGCGAGGGCGAGAGCAGCTGTGAGACCATGTCGTGAGTCTGTGGAACGATGAAGACTAGACGTATAGCGTCAGTAACAGCGGGTCCGAATTTGGGTGGACGCGCCATGCATGCGTGATACTTGTTCTTGCGTGGGCACAGCACCAGATGGGACATACCTGTACCGTCTGGAGTTCTTCCATAGGTTCGTTTCTTGTTGTCATCTTTATGGTTCTTATCTTCTTGGTCATTCAGCTCCAGGACCTTTTGTCTAGCGTCGTCTGCGTTGTTGAGATGCAGCGGCTTAGCCGATGGCCGCTCTCGTAGCTGGCCGTCGTCTCCCTTGGATCCATTGCTAACATCAGCCATGTTGGAGGAGATGAGGCAATTGAAAAGGTGTCGGTTCTTCCGGCGCGAACTGAGTGAGGGGCTCGCGGGTTATATTGCAGGGACGGCTATGGCGCGAGCTTGCCGCGACGCTATGCAAGCACTGCACAGTGGGCTGCTGTATGAACTGCCGGGATGCAGTCGAGGTGGTTGTTGGGGCCACACAGCGCGGCTCCGGGCTCCGTTTCTTCTTGGACGAGAGAAAATCGCGCTTCTTCTGTGCGGACCAACCGTCATGCGCAGAGTGTTGAACTCTGGCTAGCGTGCGGATGTTGAACGTGTATGGGAGGGGAGTCGTCGTTCGCTTGTCTGCAAGGCAAGGCGCGCAAACACGGGTGTGCTGTTATGACGGCACAGTGTGGGGCAATCCGCTTCACCCAAAACGGCAGCGATGGACCGAAGCCATCTGACATGTGGAAGCAACCAAAAATCTGCATTTTCAACACTACGTTGCAACAAGACGCAGCTTCCTTGCATCCTGCGCCCCAACGACTAAACACTGCTTCTTCCTTGCACCATGTTTGCCCGCCCATTCCTTCGCCCACGCTGCCTGCCGCCAGGCTGAAACTCAAACAGGTGTGATCGAGAGCGATCGAACGACATGGAAAAATGCGGATCGAGTGTACACAACGCGCCAATGAGGGTGGGACTCTACCAATACGACTAAGTGCCGTGGGGTATTATGAGACGTCTGCCTGACATGCCACCGTGTTCTCTCATCATAGAGAGCTTGTCCTAATCCTAAGATTTTTGCCTATAGTGAACTTGCTCGGCTTTTGCGGTGTTGTCCAGTCTGGATTCCAGGCTCCTCATCAATATCCGCAAGTGAACTCTGTCGTCGCACTGGACCAATGCCCGCGTCACTAACAATGCGTCTTTCCAGAAGCTCCATCGCCTTCATCTTCAAAGTCGTGATCGCCATCGAAGAAAAGAGATGGAGTTGGGCTAATTGTTGATCGACAGCAACCCGCTGACTCATGTATACATGCTGAGGTTGAAAGATTGTAGCCTCGGCGCTCAACAAGGCGTGCGTTTGTGTGTTAGCCAACCCCTGCTGTCTAGCCTTGATATTCTCCAAGGGCGGAACAGGAAGAGACTCCCTGAAGCTCTCAAGCATCGTCACAACAACATTGCCAACATTACCAATCTCCAAACGTTCTTCCGGAGCGACATCGTCTGCGAAGAGAGGGCTGTTGCTCTCCTTTTCGAAGGGCGAGAGTACCGTGTCATCTGTCCAGCCGTTCCAGCTCATCTCGGTAGGCTCAGTTTGCACATCTACTGGATACGAGCATTGCGTCGAAATTGAAGCAATGTCCGGCATCGTTGATGAGATGGCTGTAGACGGCATTGAGATAGTCTCGGCCATGTAAATATTTGCTTTACAAGCCTGGAGATTGTTGAGGAAAGCCTGCTCGTCTCGTTCTCTGTGCTTGATCTCTTTCTCCAATCCACGCTTGCCCTGTTGGATTTTCTTTCTCTTCTTCCGGGATAATGAGGAGTCTGTGACCAATCGTCGTTCGGTTCGAGCTTGCTTCTTGCGCAGAACTTGTAGATATGTAACACAATTGGCAAGACCGTCTTCTAGTACTTCCTTCTCAGATTGCAACTTGGAGATCCTGAAAGACCAACTGAGAGCTTCGTTGATAGGGAAGATGTCATTGGTAGCGACAACGCCCCACGGCTGGGAAGAAGCTTTGGTACAGTCCATGCCGCCGGTGATACAGCCCTTACTGTTCCTCGAACCCGATAAGCAACAAGAGACAATGTGACTGTTGTTTGTGGTGCGAGGGCAAAGATGTTACGGATGCAGGCTTCGACACGGTTTGGCTAGGAGATTTGTTTTATCATAGGTGATTGTAATGGCCATCGTAATAAAGACTAGCTACTTCAAGCGTGGGCTTGTTCAATACTGTCAAAAGGCTGAGTGCTGCCTCGGATCCCGGGAACGATAGATGCCATCGAGTCTCGATTAGAGCAGTGGCGCAAAGTCTGGCTCCAGGCCAGAAGCGATTGGCAGCCAGATGCTCGACTCGTGATAATTGTTCAGCGGAAAGTTTCGTGATCAAGGAACGAGACAAAGCCATGTGCCTTGGGACAATCAGAAAGGCTACTAAGGGTTGCGGGGAGGCTTGCAGCAGTCAGGCTCACTACTAGGCTTCTTCGGTGTAGGTGGCTCAGAGCACTTGGGCCGTCATATTGATCGTATTATCCGCCACGGAATGGAATAGTTTACACAGGTGCTGTTCGGTGTCTTCGTTAAGATGGCTTTGGATCTATGATTGATGAGTCTACCGAGCAGAAGAAGGTTTGGTAGCTGTTCGGATAGAATCATCCCAGCATCTTCGGCGTTTCAGAGAAAATACCGAGATGACAGACGATACTCGAATCATGTACAGCTCTAGCGGGGGGTGTTAGTATGGTCTGAGCGGTGGTGTTGTGATGTCTTATGCAAGGGTCAAGCCACGTTGTGATTCCGCATATAATGCACAGCGTCGTTCAAGGCGACCACTCATCGGTGAGATAGCATGATTTCAGATGTGCGTGCATGAAAGGGAGTTCCGTAACAGCTGTTTGCACGGATGTATCATCAACACTCGTCTTAGAGAATGCCAAACCTTGGCAGATTCCGAGTGCTGAACGATATTGGAAGGGTGAGTATAGCGGGTCCACATATCTTGGCCGGAACAGCGTGCAAGTATAAGTACCTGCGTCGGTTCATGGTATTCTGACACGAACGATGGCCTTGTGTCTATGGTGCGTATGCCTAGGGCTGGATAGCAGCTTTCTGATGAGCGAGCGTGCGGACATGTCCGCGCGCCACTATTCCGCGCTGGCGTCGCACCTCGGCATGCGACTATACAGGTCAGATTTGGATTTATCATCCCGGGCATCCTTATGTATCAAACTATCGCTATCGCTCTTCTGCTCTTACTGACTTGCTTCCGTTCATCTACTCGCTACGTTGGCACCGCACTTCGCCCACGCCAACGTCGATTCTGCCTAGCAGGGCGCTCACGTGGCCAATCACGTTGTGCTCACCACACTCAGTGTCTGGCCAACCCAGCTGCAGCGTACTGTGTAATGTGTCCACTCCACTGTGACGGCATCGCTTATGCAGCAATTGCTCGACCCCGCAATAGGCAGCGTGATCGTCACGAACTTGTCGTGGTCGGCCAGAGTTCGCGACCGAGGAACAGGCCGTCGTGCAGCATGTTCCTGAATGCTTTCGTTTGGCATCGGTTTCCCTACAGCTGCTCAACGTTCTTGATCCCGGACTTCCGCCGTCCCTTCCTTAGTTGGCAGACAATGACGTCATCATTATGGCTTCACAACAATGCTGTACGTTCAGGTACCATGATTCCGCATCGCCTTGGTATCGGTGCAATTTGTCTAGGCGGGGTTGATGTTGATGATGTGCTCGAGCGGCGTAGGCATTTCCGTCGTACCGCTGTCAATCGTGAGAAGAACGGATGTCTTGATTTGTTGCGAGTCTGCGAGTGATATTACCACTGCAGCCGCTAGCCAAGCAGTGTGGCAGTATGTGCTCACTGACGAGACTTTGCATTCGACACTATTCCATTAGAAATACTACCGGCCCTCTAGTTACCGTCAGCTACCGCACGGCATAAGCGTCCGAGTACCCACATTACGTACCTTTCGCACCATATAAGTACTGCGCAGCCCTCGGCATTGGGTATGCTTAGTAGAACGGCTCTTGACGGGCTTACCGATTTACGATACTATCCAAGCCCCTGCATCACGGAAAGATGGCGACCAAAATAATCGATATCCGGACAGACACCGCGGAGTCTGATATTCTTGCTGATATCAAGAATGGTTTGCGGCCGAACAATGGTGGCGAAAAGAAGCTGCCTACGTTGCTGCTCTACGAGTAAGCGACGGTGTAACCGGCGTCAGATGCACGCTAACCCCACTTCTCTTCTATCAGCCAGGAAGGTCTCCGATTGTTCGAAGAAATCACATACCAAGAAGAGTGAGCTGCTTCACTCGTGGCTTGTATGGACGTTGAGCTGATCAAGTTCGTTGCGCCAGGTACTACTTGACAAATGCCGAAATCGAGGTCCTCGAGACATATGCGGATAAAATCGCCGAACGAATCCCATCCAACTCCATCATCGTGGAACTGGGGAGCGGGTAGGGTCTCGGCTCCCACTTAAAAAGAGATTGGAAACGAGCCCTGTGCTTCGTGAGTACTAATAGTTGTGTAGCAATCTCAGAAAGGTGAACATACTTTTACAGGCTGTCGATCGTCTTGGCAAGGACGTCGAGTATTACGCTGTCGACCTGTCTCTTCCGGAATTGGAGAGAACATTCGGCGAAATACCTACAGGTAAGCAATTATCTCATAATAATTGATATTGCAGAGAGGGGGTGGGGTTTAAATCAAGCGTGCCACAGTATACACTATTCAGTGAATGTGGTCCAGACCCGCATGAACCTGCATATATGTGCGTCAACATAGTGGAAATCAACGCCCTTATCTCCTTATCACTGCACGCTACATTGATCTACGTGGATCACCCTTCCGATCTTGTTAACCAAGCATGCAGATGGATACAAGCATGTCAAGTGCTTTGGGCTGTACGGCACGTACGACGATGCTCTCGAGTGGCTGAAGACCCCCGAAGTCGAAGGGAAACCAAAGACCATCCTTTGGCTGGGCTCCAGCCTGGGCAATTTCAAACGCCATGAGGTGCCGCCATTCCTTGCTGGGTTTGGTGCAGTCCTACAGACTGGTGATACCATGCTTATCGGTATCGATTCATGCAAAGATCCCGAGGTAAAACTGTTATTACGAGATGCACGTAAACACACGCTGACCATATACTTCTACTAGCGTGTTTACCATGCGTACAACGATTGCAACGGTGTAACGCACAAATTCATCCTCAACGGTCTGAAACACGCAAACGCAATCATGGGCGAGAAAGCTTTCGATATTCAGAACTGGGAAGCCATTGGCGAGTACGACAGCCAAGCTGGAAGACATCACGCTTTTGTCGCACCACTCAAAGACACTGTTGTCGACGGTGTCCCGATCAAACAGGGTGAAAAAATTCGCATTGAGGAATCTTACAAGTACAGCCGCGAAGAAGCGCAAGAGCTTTGGGAGCTGGCCAAACTCGCGGAGAACGTTGTATGGGCGAACGCCAAGGGCGATTACGGTCTGCATTTTGTTTCCAAGCCCGCAGTGTTCTTTCACACTAAGCCAAAGGAGTACGCGGCGAATCCAGTACCCTCTTTGGCCGAGTGGCGGGAACTTTGGACGGCCTGGGACGCGGTCTCAAAGGACATGATACCCGAAGAAGAGCTACTCTCCAAGCCCATCAAACTTCGGAACGAGTGTATCTTCTACCTCGGCCACATTCCTACATTCCTAGATATTCACATCGCCCGCGCCACCACCGGCAAGCCTTCGGACCCTGCCTATTTCTGGAAGATCTTTGAGCGCGGCGTTGATCCTGATGTCGAAGATCCAACTCAGTGCCATGCCCACTCCGAGATTCCTGAAGAGTGGCCGCCGCTAAAGACCATTCTAGGATTTCAAGAGACGGTACGAAGTAAAGTCGAAGCGCTCTATAGTTCAGGAGAGGCGGAATCGAATGGCCGTGTGTCTCGAGCACTTTGGATCGGGTTTGAGCATGAAGTCATGCATTTGGAGACTTTGCTCTACATGCTGATCCAGAGTGACAAGGTCTTGCCACCTCCTGGCACCAAGGTTCCAGACTTTGCAGCATTTGCAGCGCAGTCGCAGACTCTGGCAAATGAGAACCAGTGGTTCACGATTCCTGAATCAGACATCCAAACAGGTCTTGAAGACCCTGAGGATGACTTCAAAACCATACGATACTTTGGATGGGATAACGAGAGACCTCGCCGTACAGCGCACGTAAAGTCCTTCCGCGCAAAGGCTCGCCCGATCACGAACGGAGAGTACGCCACATATCTGTCTGAGACAGGAAAGACAGGTACGTGAACATTGGAGTGGAGTCGCTGGTGCTGGCTTGACCACATCTCTGATCAAGTTTCGCTGACTGTTCCGTGTAGCTATACCTGCGTCGTGGTGCAAGCAGCCATACCCTAATGGTAAGGACACAAGCATCAGCAAGAGAGACAGTGTGGTGAACGGTCAACATAATGAAACCAATGGCTCACCTCAGAGCATTACAGAGGGCAAATTTGTCCGCACTGTATACGGTATTGTCCCTTTGAAGTTTGCCATGGGTTGGCCTGTAGTCGCATCCTACGACGAACTAGCTGGCTGCGCGCAGTGGATGGGCGGTCGTATCCCCACGATGGAAGAAGCACGAAGCATCTACAGCTACGTCGACGGCATGAAGCCGGAGTTTGAGAAATCGCTTGGAAACACGATCCCAGCAGTGAACGGGTAATATGTGTACTTCGCAACGCCTTGGATTCATGGTTAAAATTTTGCAGGCATTTGATCAACGAAGGAGTGTTTGAGACGCCACCACCACACTCTTTGTCTAACGGCGACTCCGGCACAGTATCTGGTCTCAATCCACACGACCTCTTCATTGACCTTGAAGGGACGAACGTGGGCTTCAAACACTGGCACCCAGTCTCAGTGGTCGAGAAGGGCAACAAGCTCTGTGGCCAATCTGATCTGGGAGGTGTATGGGAATGGACTAGTACTGTGCTGGAGAAGCATGACGGCTTTGAGCCGATGGAGCTGTACCCAGGTTATACAGGTATGAGGGGATCCGACGGGCTTCTGCTCCTCAACACATGATAAGACGATGCTAAGAGTAGGCAGCCGACTTCTTCGACGGCAAACATAACGTCACGCTTGGTGGATCGTGGGCGACGCATCCGCGCGTTGCTGGACGAAAGACATTGTGAGTAGAGAGCGGCAACTGCAGCCGAGGCCATGTTACTAACGTATCAAAGCGTCAACTGGTACCAACGCAACTATCCCTATGTCTGGGCTGGTGCGCGTGTTGTGTCAGATGCCTAGATTGGTGGTGCCTGGTTCGTTGTTTGCGTTTGCAGTGTCTCCAAATGCTGTGCTTAGTCCCGGCCACGATGGTGCAGCGGCGCGAAACTGTACGGATCGTCGGGTCACTGCATCTTTCACCGCAACGACGAGTCGCTTTTTCGTAGCAAAAGAGGCACTTCCTTTGGTCCGGCGCGAATGTGCATCACTTCTATGTTGTTGGATTCAGTCTCTACAGAAATCATTTCATCGTCGTGTAGTCACAGCCACTCGCTCTTTCCGCAATTACGTAGTCAGCCTTGGGCTATGAGAATACACCATCACGCACGACCATTGCACCTCACCCCGCTGCGTTAGCGAGAAGAGTTTCAAACTACCACGCGTCTTATTCACTGAAGATTCTGCGGCCAGGCAAAAGTGTCGTCTATTTCCCCACTCGCATTGGCATAGCACAAACCCCACCTACCTTTTTCCACAACCACGAACCACGCAATTTATTGTCAATCTGAAAGGTACAGCTTGCTGCAAGAAATGGGCAACAGTCTACTCTTTAAGTGGGAAGATTCAGAGGCGCTCAAGTAAGTTGTTTCACAGTGTTTATTTACTCGGGCTGTCGGAACCTTTCGGAGGCAAACGCCCAACACATATACTATCGCTGACCATTTCAGACACCACTGCGGGTTCTGTGAGCGTCCCTTGAGCCATCCCGGTGCCAGAGCGTCTTGTTTCGGCAAGCACAGCGAGCCATGTGTCCGCTTCCACCAGGTTCGTCATGTTGGATATACACGAAGCAACCGGCGTTCTAACTCTGTCTAGGCTATGTTCATGCGCCTTCGGGGTCATACATGCAAGTACTGTATGACAATTGATGAACAGCATTACAGGCGCCATCACGATATCACCGAGCGGTTACGTGCCGTCTACGAGAGTTGCGGGGAGGTCGATTGGAACATCGTACCAGATGAATTCGGGCCAGAGGAACGTGGAAGAGTGAGAGAACCCGGTGACGAGGACACACCATTGTCGAAGCGCGAGAGAAAGGATGCAAAGCGTCTTGTGAGAGCGGCCAGTAGATCGAGAGTCATCACTCTGGAGGAGATCGGATACATCGACTCCGTCGTGCACTCCGCTGAAGGCACAACGAGCAACGACGCCGACGGACCGCGTAATCCAGAAGAGGTCGATGAGATCGAAAGGCAGCTCCGAGTAAGTGCTTGAGTTATACTGATCTCGTTGATTTCCATTGTTTTTGCTAATTCTTTCATAGTACCACGCTCATGTATATAGCACACAGGTCAACCGGAGGGGGCTTAGGAAGCTCGCGGAGGCTCACGAAGATACGCCCGATATCGACTTCGAAGCCGAGATGGAACGCATCCTCGAGACCTTCCACATCAACAAGCTACTCAAGCGCAACACGAAAACCAAGGGATTGCAGGGGAAAGAGCTAAAGGCATTTCTCAATTTCGTCGACGGTTTGAAGCACGCCGTGCTTGAGGATATTGTGTTGGTCAACAAAGACAATGCTGAGTCGCGCATGCGGCGGGCTGGTTACCTCAGATATACTAACAAAACATCCTACGGGATTGTAGAAGAAAGGTATACCGACAAGGACTGGAAGACTGGTGAGAAGTTCGCGTCCAGTTCGAATGATTTCAGTGGTGCCATCACTCCTGTACATGAAACCAGTTTACTTCCAAGGTACGTTCATTTTCCTTGTCTCAGGTTGACCGGATTGCAGAGAGACGCCGAATAGCTCTGTGGAATCAATAGAAGAGGCTGTCAGCTAATATCTCTTAGCGAACAATTCGAAGACCAGTCTCCTTGCCGGCCTAGAACTGCTCACAGCCCGGACCGAAGACATCTTGAGAGTAGTCACAAGCGCGTTAGTGGCGATGATGGACTCTACGCTGCAGATATCGAGCCTTATCATACCCCACTACTATCCTTGCCACATGCTCCAGCTTCTGGTATGCCAGCTGCCGCGATCATGGTGATCAACATTAAAGCTCCAGAGCGTGCACCAGATCCAGTGCGTGGTCGCGCAGAGAAGCCTGTCAAGACAGCCTCCAATGGCTGGAAGATCGTTACGAACGGAGGTGTGCCAACAAAGCAGATACCAAAGGCACGTGTTTGGGGTAATATCCCAAGCAAGCGCCCAGCTCAGGCTTCTCGACCTGGGCCAGCACCATGGTTTTCTGACTCTCGCAACTTTCCCGATATCTCCGATGCGAAAACGTCGTTCGATGATGCATATTCCCAAACTCGTGAGGTGAAGCGTCCGATGATCTGGTCTTCGAAAGAGCCTGAGACCTTCGTTTTCCAGACTGAAGACGATGCCAGTGACCATGCCGCGGTTTCACAAAAGAAGAAAGCTAAGAAAGCTCGAGAAGCTAAGCGCAAGGAAAAGAAGCACTCTACACCAGACGTGATCATCACCGAAGACGTTGGAGATGAGCCTGACATCTCAATGCAAGGCCCTTCTACACCACAAAAGACCGAGGTCGACACCAACGTCTTAGATATCGATGAGACACTGCAATCTTTCTCGATGGATACCAAGACTGAAGGGAAGTTCGTCGACCTTATGGTAGAGCCAATTGCTATGATTCACGATTCCGGTGATGGGATATCGTTGGTGCCTCCGCCTGAATCTATGCCGATCACAAAACATGGCAAGCACATGCAATGGATCCGGTTTGTACGCAATCTTGTTGTTGATCAACTCACCAATCCATATTCGCCGTCGTGGAGTGGGTGTTCACACAGTAGCTCGTGTTCCTTTGAGAACAATAACGTCCCGGATTGCCCTTTCCACGAGCCTCGTGAGTACATCGCACTTGCAATCTTGACAGTGGATATTAACTTCAACACAGATTGCACCTGTGTTGATCCTTTGACAGACCAGTGCTATTTGGCGATGCCTTGTGTTGAGCTGTGTAGTACTGGACCGTTCAACCGCCTCCGTGGCGAGAAGCTGCTGTCACTATATGAGAAGGATCATCGAACAAAGGGCCGCTTGATGCTCATAGACGACGACCTAATCAATTACTTTATGGAAGACCCTATCAGCCGATCGCGCAATCGCAACCCAGACGGCGTGCCCGCGCGTCTACAGAAGGAGTATGATGACGTCAAGAATGGATACAATCCCGGAACTCTCATGGCGCAAGAGCTTCGTTTTGAGCAACTCTACGCTAAGAACGGTATTATGAAGCAGGAGCTTACCCAGAGTATGCTACAGGATATCCAGCGCAACGAGTTCGAACGTTTGGATACGAAGTACATGTGCTATTGTCGTGCTGCCTTACCGAAGACAGAATCTTCAAAGACGGACATTGTTGTCTGCTCATATCGCTTCTGTTCCACTGGGAACTTTCATCGATCATGCATAAAGAAGCTTGGCTTCGGCTTGGTGTCGCGGTGGTATTGTACCGAATGTGAACAGAAGATGAAGGTACTCGCGCGTCAGACGTTACGCCGTTTAGGCTATACCGATATTCCACATGAGGGCCCATGCTGCTATTCATACGGACTTAGCGCGGACAAGTTCGAAGAGATGTTCGATGAGAAATTCGCGGAGATGATGAACTCATTCGACATGGACTATCTGAAACTACTACCAGCCGACCTGAGGAACAAGGTCAAGGAGGTCGGAGGGTTCACGGCGATGCCCAAAGAGCTCCAGCAGCAATTCAAAGAGAAGGTGAGGGCGCTTGGCGAGAAGTTTAGGGCAGCGGACGTCAAGATGCTCGATTTGTAACAGGAAGCGAAGCGCGCTTTGCATTGCGCAGTCTAAGTGGGCCGGGCATGTGCAGTTTGGCTGTTAAGATTACAGAGTATTTGGGCTTCCAATTAGGAACGCTAGGATGAGTAATATAGCGGAGTCAAGAGCATGTCGAACCCTGGTATAATTTGTAAATTCTATTACAGTTGTCGTAGCTTCCGCGTTTAGCATTACAAGCAAGGCCCAAAACTTTGACTAGTATATATAATGCAGATCATATTTCATTCTCTGCGAGCTCACAAAGACATCGCATCCCCGAATTCATCCAGGCACTATCAAGCAGAAGCCATATCCACTCTTGTTTAGCAGACAATACCTTGAGCCTATAAGATACAGACGGCAACCTCGGCTTTCAAACGCTAGTGACTACAACCAACCATACAAATTTACCGATAAAATTCGACGAGTCCATCCCACAAGCTCTTGGAGCATGCTGTCACATAACAAAACGACAGATAGTGGCATTCTCGCGACCATGTACCCACTCACCCGCTGCCAAGCAACAACACCCTCATTCTCACTAGGACGCATGGGCATCGACAATACAACAAGGAAAATAGAAGATACCGAAAAGACTTCTCGCCCATTCCTCCAAGTGATCGGCAGTATTGTCATTGACAGCTCTATTCCAGATCGCGGCATCAGTAACAGTGGAGACACGGAAGAAGAGGAAGAAGAAGATGTGAAGGTTGAAGAGCTAGGATCTCTTGCTTCACGGACGGTGAATAGCATAGACTTGATACGTCGGGATAGTGAGAAGATCTGGACGGCTAGTGCGAAAAGTAGGATGAACGGGAAGCATAAGGTTAGAGACTGGTTTGTGGAGTATACACTGTGCTGGAAGAAGTATTTTCGGTGGAACCAGAGGGTTGGATTAGAGAGAGGTTGATCGGTTGTAAATATTTTTGGATGAGGATGGCATATGTACAAGTGTAGATCGCCTGCCAATCAGATTGAGGGTACCCGTAATGTCTACGCTGCATCATTCTATACTGCCACCCAATTATCTCCCCTTCTAGTAGTGCTTACTGCCACAAGTCAAGAGGCAGAACCATCTGCATCGTTTCCCTTTCTTTTGCCTGATTAACTTTTGGCTTTGTCTACCACTATTTGCTACTGCTCTTACAGTCCTATCTCCACCTTTACCACGGCCCTGCACTTGAGCTGCTACAGTATTCTCGCTCTCGTTGTGGATGCGATACGCGTTGTCGTGCGCCTTGTTGTTATACTGGTAGACCTGGATGACGCACGGCGCCTTGAGTCCTCGATCTTGGGAACCAACAAAGGATCGGTGAGATGATAAGTGGGTGTGTGGGGACACAGGCGGGCGTGGGCATTGCAAGGATGCCGATGGTGGTGATGGTGAGGAAAGCGGCGGTAGGACCGATGGCAATGGTAATGATAGAGGTCGATCCGAGTGCAACACGCCATCATGGTATACAGTAGAAGCACTAAGGTCACCATTGGGATTTTCCACACCCTGTGAAGGATACGACAGATTTGGGTCATCGGGGTCGCCCACATGTATGCGCACTCCGGGATCACAAGCCTCATCTGGCTGGTTGGAGAACGAGCTATGTAGTAGCGTGTGAGTAGAATCTGGAGATCTGAGATGGCCTACACGATATTTGTGCTTAGGGGTCTTTGAGGAGTGCTTTTGTGTACCATTACCGAACTCTCCAAAAGTCTTGGTTAGTTGTGGTCTATCGGCGTCGTTTACATCGATCGGATGTGTTGTGTGAGCAGACGTCCAACGTCCATTACTTAAAGCTGTTTTGTTTGGCTGCATCTCAAGTTGTGGGTATGAAGGAGGCCTCTTGTCGTTAACAAAGAACACCTCTGGCTGATTCTTGATGGGGTCTGGACTAAAGGATCGTGCTTCCGTCAATATCTCATTTCGAATAGCAGGGTCAGTCTTCGTAGTATCAAGGTTTCGTTCCAGTTCGCTGATCGAAGGCGCTGTCCTACCAGCAAAGCATATGAGGAAGTTTTCGGCATGACTGTTGCGTCCGATCTGGTCTCGAAGATATTGGAAAGCTTCGAGGAGGGACTCGTCGGTAGTATACTGGAAGTCTAAGTCTGCACCTCTTCCGTCGACGATGTTAGCATGAATGCCGATCATCATCGTCATGAGATCATTCTGCAATCCAGTTAGACCAAGTTGCGCCGCTAGCACCCACGTTTGAGCGAAGAGAAGCAGGGATGCGTTGCCCTCGGCCAGACCTGTGAAGATTGGGGGACACTCCCCGCTGTGCAGGTAGTTCATCACAGCTCGGAAAGGCTCGAACTGCACACCTCGCAGTATAGCACCTGGGGGTATCGCGCTCAATACGAAACATCGCCTACGCATGCGACTACTGAGTTCAAATGGAACATGAGAACCGTCACCAAGTTCGAGTGCGATGGTGACGCTGTTACTGGACATGTTAGCTTGCATGCTTCCGTCTAGCATGGAAAGAGTATTGGCGTGTATGTGGAATATATGCTCTTGAGCGCTCCTGGGAGCTCTCCTTTGCGACATCATTAGTTTGCATTACGTGAAAGAGAACAAAGCAATTTTTGCGTTGACCTGGAAGCAACACCACGCCTGCTTTGAACACGCTTTGGAGTTTGATCGTGTTTGTGTTCGTTGGTCAACTGCATATTGCATATATTGAGAACATGTGTGCTTTGCGGTTATGGCTTACGAATGAGACTTCCATCTCAACTTCAAGCAATTTGAAGCCTACAAGCCTTCTGCATGGTCAAAGACGACCCAAGACGTTCCAAGCGACTAGGATTGCTGCAGGCGGCGTTTCCAATGGCGCACCAATGGCTTCCAAATATTCGTCTTCCCGTCGAAATACGAGTATGCTACGCCCAGCATTCCACCAGCGAAATGAGCCTGTCGTCGTTAGCAAGTGATATGCGTCGCTCTGCGTGTTGAACCTACTGCGTGACCAAAGTTCACAAAGCTATACCCTCGAATAATGCCAACCAGATCGAAAAGTAGTATCGCGGGCAGCACATATTGCGCGTCGAAATGTACAGGGACAAATAATATTCCTAGACCAGCATGAGGATATTGCATGCAGAAGACTCCAAGAACTCCGAACAATGCTCCTGATGCGCCTCCGGAGCGAATAAAGATTTCAGGGATTGGTCGCCTGTGAAAAGGTATGCGAGTGCTCAAAGTTGTCCAGTGTTGAGCGAAGCCCGAAAGCACACCAGCTGAGAGATAGAACGATAATGTATGGTATGGGCTGCCCTCGAATAGGCGGGAGTATCCGACTGGGGCCATGAAGTTGTTCAAGAAGTACATATTGACGAAGAAATGCAAAGCTCCACCATGTACAAACATGGATGTAAATTGTGTGTAATTGACATTGCGAGCGGGCAGATGCCATAGTGTTTCCCAGGCTCTGGGCAGTAGAAAGCTGCTCAGGTGGATACCGCTGTTGGCTCCAATAATTCCATACGTGACTCTCGAAATTGGATCGAGATTAGTCCAGGCTCCAGTCACGACTTCAGTCGGGGTCGGCGGGCCACGTTGTTTTGTACTCCATTGTGGCGCTTGAAGCCATCCTCCACCAGATGCTGGTTTGGATTTGAGTTCGCTCTTGGCCTCTAGGTAGGCGAGACCGTAGAAGATGCCGCCGGATACAGAAAGTGCCCAAATTGCAGGAATCAAGTATCTCACTTTGACTTTGGGAAACTGTGTATATGTGTCGTCGGAAGCATCGTCCACCGCCTGTCGTAGTACTTCTTCCGGTATAGGTGGCTGTTCGTTGTTAGGCCTTGGGGCTTCACTTCTCAGCTGGGCGTATTGTGCGCGCTGCTGCGAAAGGTAGCGAAGCCTTGACACGGTCGGACGAAAGACGGAAATCGCCGGTGGTTGAGACGCATAGCATGCGCACCGCAGCGACGGTCCGCCTATCTTGTATGCAAACATCGCGTGTTTGGAGTGTAGCTGCAATGACGCGAAGCTTCCAATTGGCGTCGGCCCGACTAGCGTGGGGCACGTGCGAAGATTATCGCTATCCCTGGCCGCCTGCTCCTTGACACTCTCTAACTTCATCGTTGCCTGTCAATTCATCTCCGTCAAAAGTCGTCTATCAATAGGCAGTGATCGATTATTCACATTCGCGTCACCGCCTTATCGGAAAACTCATCGGTATGCGAAGTATAGTCTATGGGCTGAAGTCTCCAAACAGTTATCCGGCGATTACTGTTGGTAACCTCGTTACGCTTATTGGGCAATCCTCGCACACTCTCGCCATGACTTTCGCTATTCAGTTCCCAGTGCGCAGTGATAATACGCGCGATCTGAATGAATGTATTAGTACCCGCAGTCTAATGGCATAGGAAAGATAAGCCTACCATCTTACTCATCGGAGGAAGCTCATGTCCGGTTTACCTTACTCTAGCGTCCAAAAGCACCCCAAGGCCCCGCAGTATGCGGCTCTGAGCTCTTTCTCATGGCTACACGGCTCTTGTTGAACCTGGCAAAACCAAAGCCCCACAAGCTTCTGGCTTCCTATACGTTGCTCTGAACTGAGTGGCTTCAATAAAATCAGGAAGGACGCCAACAACCTTGGTTCAACCCTTAGCGAACCTTAGGAGCATTTCGAGTATCAAGAACCGTACCCGACATCTCAGCCAAGCGAACTCTGGATTTGCCTATGGTTCTCACATCAAAATAATGTGCGTCAACGTTGACATCCCTTCATTCACTTTTCCTTACTCCAACGAACGTCCGATAATTCTGGCACAATCTTCCAGGCTTAGAGTCCCAACTCATTCGATTTCACGCTTTTAAGTCGAGAAAATTTCCTCTGCCATTGCGCAGATGTTCAAGCTATTCAGAGAGACGTTCCGCTTCCGATTTGACTTTGACAAAAACTCTTCCACAAGTACCTCATCTTCGAATAGCAACGATATCGAAGTTCAAGTGGGCAGACTACCTAATGCTCGTCTTGTTCATGTCCCGCGCACCGCTCTCAGGACATGTCGTGTACTACGCACAAGTCTAGTGCATGGATGCAGAATCAAGAACACTGACGCTCTTGTCTTTGAAGTTATCTTGGCATACTTCAACGTCAATGGTTCGTTAGGACGGCTGCGACTAAATGTACGAGATCCATTGACGCAACTTACTGGCGGCTGCGACAGGATGCTCAAACTCGCCAAAGCATGGCATCTAGCGGACATGCTCGACGACATGCGGCTGCAGAACAAGCTGATAGATGTGTATCGCATTCTCTACCTTGAGCTACTCAATGCAAACACCAAAGTACCTCTAGACTACGAGGCATTCATATATCTGGAATCCCATCTCGGTACCCACACGAAGATGGAGAAGTTCATGATAGACTTCTTCGCTGGACTATCTCGGTATACAGGCGATTTCAGTGCTCAGGAACTCCTTCCGTTCCGACCCGACGTTTCACGAGCATTAAAGGTGCGACGCGCGCAGCTGGTGGTACAGGGAAGTTTTGTAGATCTGATCGCTACCGGTAATACTTGCTTTAACGTGATCAAATCGGACGCGACAACACACAGCTCCTTGCAAGTGACTAAGCCGACGAGACTTTCCTCAGGTGCGGGTCTCAACTCCTTACCGTTACGGCATAGCCTCTCAACGTCTTCACTATCGTCTTTGGTCTCCCTTCCAGTATCATCAACGACTGCGATATCGTCTGCGTCACCGACGTTTGATTGCAGGCATCAAAGGCGTTTGTCGCTATTAGGAACTACGAGCATAGATGAACGACCAGAGGTCTGTTTATCTGGTACATTGGCTTCTATCTTCCAGTCGGCAATGGGTGCCACTTTGTACTCTTGCCACACGCGCTCGGTATCTCTCACGACTCCAATATCTAGCCGCGCACCATTCATGGCAAAAAAACCCGTTCCCTTTCGTCAACAGGCTCATATAGCTTCGGAAGACGATTCCTCGGACGACGACATAGCGTACGATATATTTCCATCAGGTCTGTAAGGCATGACTTCAGTCGAGAAATGAGATTCAGCAAAATGATAGATATTTCAACCCTTTGAAACAGGAGAGGATGGGGGAGACAACGATAGTATTGTGGTGTTTGCAAAAGAGTGGATGTGTATTCTGTTCGTAGGAGATCATAAATCGCACGCTCGAGTACGAAAGTAATGAAGTGTGTAAGGAACTCGCTGTGTGCGACTGTGCTTGGTTCATAGGGTGTATGTGTTGAATAAAGCGCGAATGAAAATTAGTTTATTTATAAAAGATAAGGTTGTGAAATATTTAGAGGCTCTATTAATGCCATATACTGCTCATCGACGGCCGGAAGTCTACTGCTAAATTCCGCCGTATTATGCAACTTGGATAGGCTATTGCGGATGTACTGGCATAAGTTTCAAATCGAGCATATACCCCTCAGACACTAGGCCTGCTTGCCGACTGCTGCCGCAGGAACCGATGTGGGAACATGTTGGCTGCTCGAGCTACTGACGTTCGCCTCGTAGTGGTTCTGCTCCATGAGACTCCAATCACCGATCTGCTCATCGCCAAACTGGTCGAGATCCAGACCCATCATCTCAGCCTCTGAGGTGACGCGGAGATGCATGCCAGGAATGAACTTCAAGATGTACAAGAGAATACAAGAGACGACGAAAGAGTAAGAGGCGATGGCGACAATCTCAGCCAATTGGCGACCGATTTGCACACCTACACCATCCATGCCTCCGAGGCCGTCATACGGACCCATACCATCGAGGTCGTAGATCCAGGCTTGGCCGAAAATACCAGTGAGGAAGGAGCCAACCATGCCACCGATTCCGTGGAGCTTGAAGACATCCATGCCTTCGTCGATCTTGATCCACTTATCGACATTCTGGCAAAGAGAGCAAATCGCAGCAGTGAGAAAACCGATGAGGGCGGCTATCCACACAGAAACATAACCTGCAGCAGGAGTAATGCCGACAAGACCAGCGATAGCTCCAGAGCAAGCACCGACCACAGAGAAGTGACCTTTAGTACGGACGTACTCAACCGACACCCAGCCGAGAACTCCGAAGGAGGCCGCAGTGTTGGTGTTGAAGGCAGCCAACATCGAGCGCACGGTGCCGTTAAGAGCACTACCTCCGTTGAAGCCGAACCAGCCGAACCAGATGAAGACAGTGCCGATGAAGACGAGTGTAGGATTATGAGCTTTTCCGTGGATCTTGTCGCCCTTGTGAAGGCGTTTGCCGAGGACGAAGGCGTAGGCGAGGGCAGACCAGCCGGATGCAATGTGAACGGGGCCGCCACCTGCGAAGTCTAGAGAGGGGAGGTTGAAAAGCCAACCATTTCTAGAAGACCGTCAGTATGTCTCAGCAAGCACAATCTGTGAGGCTTACGCATTCCAGGTCCAGCAAGCGATTGGGCAGTACACGATAGTTGCCCAGCAGAAGGCGAAGACCATTGACGGCAGGATGCGACCGCGTTCAAAAGATCCACCAATAACAAGCTGTACAGTACATGCGCAGAAAAGCATCTGGTAAAGGCCTACGCACAGTTAGTAAGTACGATCTAGCTCGGAATCCATGAGATACCTACAGAACACGATCTCAGGTAAGAACGATGAGCCCGGCGAGGGTGCCGACATGACATTCTTTAACCCGAAGTTGTCCATGTTGCCAATGAAGGGACTGGCCGAGCGAGAGTATGCGAGCGAATAACCCCAGAACATCCACTGGAATGTAACTACTCCCATGACTGCGAACGACTGGAAGAGCATAGAAAGTGCCGACTTGCGGCGAGCAAGACCGGAGTAAAGAAAACCGATTCCGGGTATAATCAAAAACACAAGGAATGCCATGATCATAAGGTAGATGTAGTGGAACTCCAGGCCAGTGTATTGAAGGTTGACATTTTCGATATCTGGGTTGCCGCCATTGGGCTTCGCCGGGTCGAACTCAGGCTACGCTTGTGTCAGTTGTCTTGCATGTTGGACGTTTTTGTCTGCTGGGGAAACATACAGTGGGTGGTACCTCCATGGTGTAGGGGTGTCAGTGTATCGACTATGACTGGAACCTCAGGGGTGTTCTGGAAAGAGAAGACAAGAAGTGCAGGGGCTCTCCAGCGGATATATATCTTTCAACGCCTTTCCTCACACCATCCGGCCAATTTCCAGGGACCGAGATTGATGCGCCGTCAAACCCGGTTCGCCTTCTACTTCGATACATACGACGCTGCTGTGCCCCCAACGCTGAACGTGGCGCCGTCTGGGCAAAGATAAGCAGAGCGTTAGGAATCCCATGCTGATGGAGCCGAGCGCATATTGTGGAGCTTCTGGCTTGGGTTGCTGTGTTTGGCCTGAGATTTGATGCCGCGAAGGATTCCGAAGACGGATTGCATGTCCCAAATAGCCAAGGCCCGTAAGCCATGGTCGCGCTTGTATAGAATGGTGAAGGTAAGAGTTCAGGGTCTTAGTGGCTGATAAGAGACGGGATGAAAGCGGTATAGCCCCTGTGCCTGAGTGATAAGCCGGTCTGTCTGGAACAGGGGCGATTGGTTGGCCAGAATCGACCTACCGATGGCTGTACGGTGCTTTACGAATCGCTCTGTGTAACGAAATCTGGAGTGAAGATAGACAGATTCCATCCCGCTAATGTCGTACATTGGCTACCGCGTGGTGTTGCTGTACCGCCGTTGATGGCGGCTGATTTACTCCCGTTTGTCCGTGATTCCGAACACCAGGTCCGTGCCACGGGGCTGATCCACTCCTATGGTATCATGGAATGTCGTTCTCTTGTTAGGCGCAAATTTGCAACTATGTCAGTAGAGACTGCAGTCATTGACGAAGATGAATGAGAGCGAGGGCTTGCATAGTACAGCTAGCGCTTTCTGAACAGGCAATCTGGGCCCGGATTTTAGTGCCATGTACTGTGCCGCGAGGATGCAAGACCAGATTTGCTGCACGGTTATCACTT